AACTCTTTGACGTGTGGTCACATATTACAAAACTAACTGAAAAGAATTTTGGTTGTTGCTAAAGACATGTTTCTGGGAATCATTACAAAATAAGAACATTATGTACACTTAAGATGTAAATCGGAAGGTTTTATGCCATTTGGAAATGTCATATATTTTAATTTTGTGTTTTAAAATGGAAAGAATAATTCCTAATAATGTTACAGTGATTTTCAAAGCATATTATGGCTAAAAAATATTTTGCTTTTAGATTTTTACCAATTATAGTATTTGTAAATTATCAATTGAATATCATTGTAAATAAAGCATTTAGTACCCCCTGCAAATGTTTCACCTACTCTAATTTTAATTACTCAGTTCTCAAACTGATTTTGGAAATAATAACAGCATTTAACTTACATTTTCCTGTTGATTCGGTAATCAATCAAACATCTTTCTAAATCTACTTATTTAAAAAGCACTAATTATATTTACTTTGTAGAATAGCTAAGAGATTTTTAAAATCTTTGCATTATACATTTGAATGAATTACAAATCAAGTGAACATATTTCATGATTATAGCTCTTCTTGTGCTATATTTATGATGTATTTTATGTCATTTATTCTCTTGCTACAAAATTTCCATGGGAAATACTAACTGTTCAGGGGCACAGTACTGAAGGTCAACTGGTGGCTCACGGTAACCATAGTAATAACTATCCTAAAAATAAAGAGTGCCTGTGTCTGTGCTGATGGGATCCTACTACAGAGGATTAATCAGGTTCACAGGCAGTGGTGTTACTTGGACCAGAGAATCACATTTGATAGTAATATAATACAAGCGCATGAGGGTTTAATACAGATATAAAGCTTATATTCAGACGAGACTTTCCAGGGAAATAAAATTAAAAACTGAAATTATATCTGTAGATGCTAAATAAGTGTCAACAAGGAAAACTGTCACAATTCATATATTTAACAATACAGGGATTAAACTCAAGGTGTTTCTTGATTCATGACCTATAAATGCTTCGTTATATTTGATCTGGGTTTATCAGTAATTATAATTCTAATAGATCAATTTCCACATTTATAAGTAAGAGAAAAATTTTTTACAGCCTTAAACCTTATCTACATTTCTATTATAGCACTTATGATATGCGTCATAATTATTCATTTACTTGCTTGACTCCCTGTTAAACCATGGCCTCATTGGAAACAGGGACCATATCTGTGTACCTGTGTAATGGATGTTTAGGAAGTCTCTGTTAAATGAAAGATCTATAATACAAGTGAGATAATGGAGATGATTTGTCACAGATTAACACCTCATTTATGAATCTCTAAAGGTGTAGGGGAATAAAGAATTGGAAAGACATATTTTAAATTATCTAAGGGGCTTCATGGATTCCAATTCCCTATCAGAAAGCTAAGATCATTTACAAAATGCCTTGTGAGATTGACCTGGGCACATATTACCAGATTAGAAGGCACTTCCCCAACCCCAATGCAAGGATGTTAGAATTCAGCTAGGCCTAAGCTTCCTAACACATGCTGTATAACTTTCTCTACTTGTTAATGAGTTGGGAATAAAAATAATAACCATCAAAAGTCAAGACAATTTCTGCTAAAAGCAGCCAATTACTCTATGGCCATTGCATACAATAAACATTTCCTCTTTAACACACTGGTCCTTTTTTTGTTTTGTTTTTGTCAAAATTACATGGAACAGAACCCCTACATGCAAATAATGGGGTATGCTTGTCCCACCTTGCTCCAAGATCCAAGTTAAGGAGCTACAGGAAGTTGCAAATAGAACAGAAACAGACATCTTAGCTCCTCTTCTTTTAATTCTATTCATTTGCTTAAATATTTATTGAGCACCTCCTATGTAGCCAGGGTTTTCATGGCCTAAGGATACATCAATAAACAAAACAAACAAATTTCTCTCCTCTTGGTACTTACATACTGGTGCAGGGTTAATATTAATTTTTTCTGATGGTAATGGTATGACTTGTCAATACCTAGGAGGCACCAGAGATATTTGGTCCACACGTGGTATATTTTACCAATCAAACATTTTTTTCTTAGAAACCTATATCTGAAATTGTAGTTTGAATCAGTGAGGTTCGATTCTTGATAATAATCTTTCATCTATAAATTGCACAGAACTTTGTACCCTCCTAATAAAACATAGCTTGCCTTATCTTGTAACTTAGGTATTTTTATACTTGTCATATTGTTTTCTAGGAGATTATAAATTCTTGAAAATCATGCCTTATTTATTCTTTTATTGTCTGCACGGTGCCTTACACATGGTAAATGTTCAACAAATACTTAATTAGAACTTAATTCTTTTTTAAGTGCAAATTTTTTCAGAATTCTTATAACGAGTATAAATTCTCATTTAAACTACTTGTACACAATTACACTATTTTTCTTCCACAGTGTTTTGTGGCAAGGAAACCCTCAGTAAATATTTGCTGACTTGAATTGAAAATGTTTAAAGTAATTTTACTTCTTTTTTTGATTTTATAATCAGTTTTCATGAGGGCTATAAATTTCCCTTTACTTGATCACCTAAAATCAATCCTTTAAAAAGGAAAGAAATAAGAGAATATCTCTAAGGAAATAAAAACACAACCATCAGATGTTCAAAGAGTTTTATATGTCACTTTTCTATCCCATGTATACCATCCTTTTCTTTTAAATCAGAAATCTCCATCTTGATCAAGCAAGATAATTTCACCCATTTTATTAATTGATCACCTCTCCTTTTTATTTACTTACAAGCATTTATTATATTTGCTTCATATATTAAATTATTTCTTTCCCCTTTTTACTATAAGGTCAATTGATTATTCTTGCTAAGGTTAATAAGAACATGATAAAATCTATAATTCTAAAAATTGTGAAAATCTAAAAATAATGAAATGGCTTGCACATACAACCTTTGTTGAGAAATGTAGTGGGTTTGTGTTGTAGTCTGGGCTACGTGACAGGTGGTATATTCATAACAGTGAAGCTGACCTGATTGTGTAATTTAACAGGAGCATTCTCTTATTTATACAAACCACATAGATTTAGCTTCAGTGCCACAAGAGTTCCAAAGCTCCACATCTAGCAACTGGTTGAAGCCTAGGCTTTTTTCCCTGATTTCCCCACATTCCATTTCACTTCCTGTCTTATTGGAACCTCATTCCTGCCACAAATGTAATAAGTCCCATCTCTTCAAGCCCTCAGTCCAATGCTTACCCTTAATTTATGATTTATCTCATTCTACTTTGCTAGACTGTTTTCTTGCCTCTAGACTGTGAATTCTTTGAGACTAAGACCAAGTTGTTTCATTTTTAATTTTTTTACTCCTTCCTTATTGCTCCATTGTAGGTCCAGATGTTCACCAACATAAAAATAAAGTTGTGTTCCAGAACTTCTTTGATCTTAGCCTCCTTTGGGACTACTAAAGCTGTACCACCCATTCTGGTTTATTTTAGGGTTGTACACATAGGCCACATATGATTCTACATAGACATTTAAGCATTGTTTATACTGCAGAAGTGTGTCTAAGTGTTTTCAACAAAGAACAATGTGATTAGGAATCCATGTTTGTGGATGACTAATTTTTTAACGACCACCATAGAAGGAAGAAATTCAAAAAAATTATTTTTGCAGAAATACAAAAGGTATCCAAAAATATTTTGTTCAACTTTATTTATACAAAAACCCCTTGTCGTAGAGTTAGTATTTGTGTCAATAGGACTACTAGTTATTGCTCAATTTTGATTGAGACAGCAAGAATACAAGTATTTCTCATCAAGCATATTTGATGGGAGGGCATATTTCAATTCAAGCTCCAGATTTACGTAAGGAATGCAATTGACTTTCAGAGCACACAGGTGGATACCAACATTGCCTAGAGTTTGGCCACATGGTCAGAAATTATTTCTGCAAAAATTTTTGAGATATAATAGACATACAACATTGTATTCATTTTAGGTATACATGATTTGATATATGTATATATTTCAAAATGATTACCAGAGTAAGTTTATTTCACACTTGCTATTTATTATCATTCCCATACATCAGTAAAAAAAAAACATTAGAAGTGCTGAATCAGTAGTAACAATTAGAACTGCTTTGTACAACTACGCTGCAGTTCACAGAATAGTCGTAAAAGATATAAACAGGAAACTGAGTGGTTGGCTATGGCCAGGAGAGTGTTTCAGCCGAAGGGGACTCATCGAGAGCTAGTGAGGGGGGGGTCTCTGGCCCTAACGCAACCAATATCAGGTCAGCAAACTTTTTCAGGGTGAGAGATGGGAGGCCAGCACGCGAAGCGGCGGCAGGAGGCGGTTGGTAGGTAGATAAGCGCCACGTCCGCTTCCAGGGTTTCGATTTCTTTTCCTCCATTTTGCATGCGTTTCTCGAGAGGCCGGGAAGTGAAGACCGACTGCTGCCAGCCGGAGGCGAGTCCCACGGTGGACGCGACGGTAGGTGCCCACGCTCGATACCTTCCAACTCTCCTCAGACCTCCGAGGTCTGATTTCAGGTTTTCGTGCCAGGGCCGCCGCTGTCCCCGAGCACTGCCTTTGCTGTCTGTCACTCGCCGCAGCTCCCCAGCGCGCGCTTTCCTGAACTGGCCCTGGGAGCGGGGTGCCGGGGAAGGGTCAAGGGAGGGGTGGGCCTTCTGGCAGGTGACTCAGTCCTGTAGATTCCTTATTTCTGGTTTGCCCGCGGGCGCCAGCCTGGGCGGAGCCCCTCCGCCTCTCTCCTTCCCTCACTCCCACCCCCTCGCCCCGCACCCGAGTCTGGAGAGGGCTTCCAGAGGCTGCGGGCATCTCAGATGCGCGGCCGGCGCGCCCGCATCCACCCGGCCAAGTAACCCTCTGCTAACACTGTACCCCCGAAGGCGGAAAACAGGCCGCGAGCTTTGGTGGCACGTTGCCAGCGTCGCGTAAGCTTTGCCTTAGATCATCTTGAGAGTTGCTCAAGACCTGTAGTGAACTGTTCAAAAGACACGACAGTTGTCCTTTGGAACAGTTGATGAGAAAGAGGATTTTTTTTTTCCCTGCAGTAATATGAGCGCGCTCGCCTTTATTCGGCGAGAGCAGGCGGCCTGGCAGGAATTTTCACTCTCGCAATAGCTTGGGGAAGTAGGGCAGCGTTGTTGTTTCTCAAAGCATTTAAATATATATTTCGGTCGGAATGATTGACATAGATTTATGTAAAGCCTTAAAAAAAATTTTGTTTCCGTATCCCCCTTCCCCAGTCCCTTTCCTTCTTCAAAAGGATTGGGAAATTAAGGTGACTTAAATAAAGATGTTCTTGCTTGCTGGTGCCCGGATTTGGACGGAAGGGCATGTTCTTTTACATAATAACAGTGGATTGCAATAGAACAAAGGCCATTGAAAATTCAGACTGCTTTTGGTTCAGGGGAAAAGGAAGTTAGTTCAAGGACGTTGGAGCTCTTGCGAATATATTTGTTGACTTTTGAAATTTGTTCACTCAAACGAGAGGTGGTGCCAATACGGTGATAGCATACCTCAAGCATTTTTTGAGACCTACCGGATAATCTAGAAGTCCAACCGGCTCTGGCGGGCCAGACCTGATTTCAGATAAGAGGAACAGAATTTTTGGTATTTTCCCTCTGGTGGTTCCCTTACATAAGCTTGCTTTTTTTTTTTTTTTACAAAAATGATTCATTAGGAGGGGCAAGAAACTTGACTCAACCCTCTAACCCCTACCCCCAAAAAAGACTCATGTTTAGAGGGGAATTTTCAATGTTTGCCAAACACGGTTTCATTTTTTTTTTTTTTTTTAATGTTAATACGTGTTTTTCGTACAGCTTCTGGATTGGATGTCTTGATTAAAAGGGCTTTTTCTTTCGACTTCGTGTTTTACATTTGTTTGTAACAGGTATTTGCTTTTTCTTTAACTATCTTTACACCCTATCTTACACCTGCTTTCTTAGGTGAATCCACCGGCAGGTACGCAGGAACTGGGTGCCCCTTGTCCCCTACATTTTTGGGAGTCTTGCACGACATGGGACGTTGGGAGGGTAGTCGGGGAAAGGTTTTTTAGTTTAGTTTTGTTTTGTTTTTATCTGAGCGGTGGCGAGAAACCTATTGGAAGCTGAAACAAAAATATGTTTTCGTTGCTAGGGCGCCTGTCGGTCACTCACCCACTCTCCGTGGAGTGGTGGCGAGCAGCGGCGGCACCCACTCAGTTTCCACCCGTCACAGGTAATTCCCCCGAGATCCACGTCGGCCCTTTGCCTAGACAAGGGAGAGTTTACGATTCAAAGAGACACGTGTGTGCCTTGTGTAGATTTTTAAGGTCCGGGCGGAGAGTTCTCAAACTTGGTTTCAGAGGTGTGGCGCGTCCCTGGACGCCTGCCCTGAGGCCACCTCTAACACTCTGATCCAGTTCCTTGTCCTCTCCGGGGAATTTCCGACACCAGTTTTCAGGAGCAGCAGATCTGTTCGTGTCCTCCGTGGGTGGGTACCTTTCCTGGTGGAGATCCAGCTGGAAGAGCTGGCGGCTGCCCCGGCGTGAGTAGACAGAGAACCCTGTACGCCCCTCTTCTCCCGACTTGCACCCCTGTGCTGGCGTCCCCGTGGACTCCGGGGGCGTGGGGCACTATCCTCTGATCGCGGCGGAAATGGATTGAGTCTCCTGCTTTCAGCGGTTCACAGCCTCCTGGACTCAGCCACAGCACTCCTAGTCAGCGGGAGTGTAGCATTTTTAGATCTCCGGAATGGACTCTGGTTATTTCTTCTTGTAGACACCAAAAGCTAATTAAACTCGTGTTTATGTACTGAAACGCCTCCTTTCTTTAATTCAGTACATTCCTACCAATATTTATGGAGCTTCTCTGAGCCAAGCGGAGGTCTGGGTGCTGGGGACATAGGAACAATCTGCACTTGGTTCCTTCCGACAGAAGATCATAGAGTGGTTGGGACAAAGTTAACCTGTACAGGTGACATGTTTTCAAGGCAGCTTTGCACAGGAAAGCCTGGAATATGAAGGAAGAAGCCAGTTGGGCCAGGTGGGGGAAGTAATGACAGATCACAGAGCTGTCAATGTGTTTTCACACTGGTCCTTGATTCCCTTACTATAAATCAGTGAGAGAAGAAATACTATTATTATTGAAATGTCCTATTTCTCCTTTATATTCAGCTCCTGTCACCTCCTCTAGGAAGACTTCACAACTCGGCCTGTGGGTTCATTTCTTCTATTCTTTCACATGCTCAGTGACTAGCTTTGCAGTTACCATAGACTTGCACTTAACACTCAGTATTGGCATAGTTTTTCTTCAAAAACTTTTTCAGTCAAATTGTATTATAATTATCTGAGTTAAAATAAGTAAATAGAGAAAGCCCTTAGGAATCCATTGCCTAGGATAACCAAAGGTTGCGGTTTAGTGTCTTTTTCAGACATTTATGCATTCAAATATAGTCTTTAAATGTTTTTAGAAATATGTTTTGTTCTTTTTTTATTTTGTATGTTGCTGTTTCTCCAGTCATATTTAAGAACTGCTTTTTTTTCTATTAATAACTCTGCTTTTTTTCACATGTAATTTCACTCCTTTCTGGCATTAGTGTTTCTAATGAAAGATTTTTTTTCTTCTAATGAACATTTTTCTTGTTTTTGAGAATGTGTGTATCCACAATTTACATTTTATTAATCTGTTCAGATGCCCAAATGTTTTTTCTCCCTCCTCAATTCTGGTTTTAATTTCTTCTTTGATCCTGTGGGCATATAAAGGAATGAATATATATTCATTTATATAATATGTATTCTTGAATCTTTTCTTTCCAGATAAAATGGCTTTCCACCCTCCCATACTTTGTACCTGTTCTTTGTTTACTTTTCTCTGATGGTCTCTACTTTAACCACTCCGTCTTTATTCGTGCAAAACAGACAAAAAACTTCTTTGTTATTTCCTTTTATTCTAGATATTGGGTTTTCATCTTTAGTAATTCAGTATTTATGAAAGAACTAAGCTCCACCAATTTGATACCATATTTATCTGCATATTCAAAGTGGTTTATGTCTTCTGCAGTAAAAGTTTTAATTGGAGAAATAAACCCATTATTTCTCATATCAATATTTATATACCTCAGTTTTACAATGTAATTGAAAAATCCTCTTGTAGCTACTGGCTCCAAGTCTTAAAATGTTTCCCAGGGTAATGGCTTCCTTTTAACATCTGATTTTACAAGTGAGAACTACAGCTTCCTTATCTACTTGGGAAATTCTTGAATTTTTTTCTTGAACTTCTTTTGTATTTTCCTTTGGCTTATCTATGCTGTTTTTTTTTTTTTTTTACTTGTCCAGCGAGCTTGGCTGGGGACATTATTTTCTGCTGGTTCAAGGTGAGGGCGCGCACATCTGATTTTACAAGTGAGAACTACAGCTTCCTTATCTACTTGGGAAATTCTTGAATTTTTTTCTTGAACTTCTTTTGTATTTTCCTTTGGCTTATCTATGCTGTTTTTTTTTTTTTTTTACTTGTCCAGCGAGCTTGGCTGGAGACATTATATTCTGCTAGTTCAAGGTGAGGTCCTGCCAGCTCCCAGGATACTCTGCATGGGGGCTCACCAGCCTCATGAAATCACATTGTGAGCCACTCTTCAACAACAACATTGTTACCCCCATATAATTGTAGAAGTTTCCTTTAACAAGCTCTGTCTCCTGGACCTAACAACCAGGTTCCAAGTATGATATTTCACTCCACCATAACCTACAGTGAAGCAAGATGAAGCAGGATGAGTAAGTGTTACACATGTGCGGGCCTGCTGGAGGAGCTGTGTAATGATGACTAGTCAGTTAAAGGCCTTAGGAGGGTGAGCTCGGCAGGCCTGGCCAGGGCCCACCACAGCCTAATGAAGATGAGTAAGAACTTACTTATCCTTAAGGATCTTAGCTCATATGACAGGAAGCCAACTAGAATAAGATGAACTCCAGAAGAGAATGAAAACAATGCTATGAAGCAGAAAGAGATGACCTGATTTGGGAATCAAGACAAGCTTATTGAAGAGATGGCTTGAAAGATGGGATAGAATTTGATAACTGAGATCATCTATTGTTTGTGGGCAATAATTGGAATGAACTGCTTGTGAAGCGAAATCATATTTAGTGCATATTTTTGGCCACTGATACATAATGGTCATTAACATTCCAAATTGGAATGTATTTATGCTTCAGCCTAAGTCTTCTAGAATATGTTTGGTGTGTATCTGCAGCATTTCAGAAATTTCAGGAACCACATGATGAATTCATTATATTAGCTGCTTGAATTGTTACACAGCCCACGCCCATAGGTTATGTACGTGAATGGTTATGCTTAGGGTAAATGTTCAGAGCTCCTGTGAGATGGCCACATTCTGCGTTGCCCAGGACCACGTAACCCTTTCTTCTTTATCCTTTCAGAAACTTATAGGTGACTCCTTTAAGGGACTTCGTGATCATATATCAGCGGGGATTCTCAGATGCCTGAAAGTTGCAGGTTTGCATGAGGCTTTCTGCAGCTGGCAAGGCAGGTTTCTCTTCATTACCACCCAGTTTTGTGGTGTTGCTAGAAAACTACACTTATTTCCATACTGTGGCTTGGTGGACATGACCTTGCTTTCATGCTATACCATGACCTCATTTCAGGTGGAGAAGCAGTAAAAAAAAGTGGAATGTTAAGTAGGGTAAGGTGTGATGGGAACCAGTCATGATGGCTGCTGTGCTACTGATTACAGAGAACGCTATGTGCTTTGGATACCAGATTGTTTGGGGGCAAAGTTGACATTCTGTAGAAAGATTGAGAAGCCTGACTAAAGTTAACCATATTTTACTATCGCCTGTTGGAGCTAATGCTGGGTGCCAGGGAGGTATGTACATTGTACGGTGGTGGTACAAGGAGTTATGTGGGCTCTTCCCAGGAAAGCTTTGTATAGTAGGAGATGCTTAAGCTGGGCTTGAAAGCTGAGAAGTGTTTTGCTAGGCAGGTAAGTGGAAGAGAGTAATACTGGCAAAGGCACAGAGGCACAGAAAAGAACTCTTCGTTTGGTTGAAGCCAAATGTACAAGGTATGTGTTAATGAGAGATGAGGGCAGGAACTAGACCACCTTGAATGCAAAGAAATCGGAACCTGCCATGGGAGATGAGGAACCATTGGAAGGTTTGAAGTAGGAAAGTGACTTGGTTCAAGCATGAACTTCAGAAAGTTCATTCTAATGAGAGATCAGTTTGGAGAGAGTGAGGCCATAGGCAGGGCAATCAGAAAGTCCAGGGTTAGAGTCTGGGTGAGAGATGGATTGTACTGTGGTCAGAGAATGTGGTATGAAGTATATTTAATTTAGTATCTGTACACCTATTGCCCAGCTTATGTAGTAAAATATTACAAATTCAGTCATTTTACCTCTGTATTTTTATCTAGTTACATTTTATTTATCCTGTAATGGAAACCAATTCAGTATTTATTATGTATGTTTTAATATTTTCACTACACATACACACACACACACACACACTTTCTAAACAATATATAGTATTTTTAACATTTAGGATTTTAATGCATGCTTTTTCAACTTGCTTTTTGCCTAGGCAAAAATATTTGTTTTGTTGTTTTGCTTTTTACTTGTTTGTGAAATTCATGTAGTTCTAGTTCATTCATTTTCAGGGCTGTATAGTGTTTCACTGAAAGACTAACATTTTATTCAATCTCTTCTTAAAAGACCTTTAGATGGTTTCCATTTTTTGTTATAACATCCATTGCTGCTAGGAACATTGTGTACATGTTTTGGTATACCTGTCTGAACTATTTTTTAAGGATATTTATTTAGGAATAAAATTTGCATGTCATGGAGTAATGTATGTTTTTATCTTTATCAGATATTGACAAATTGTTCTTCTAAGTGGCTGTACCAATTTATAATTCTAGCAATGTATAAGATTTCCTATTTCTCTGTATTTTTATTATAGTTGGTAACATATTAGCATTTGACCAATGAAAAATAATATCTCATTGTAGTTTAAATTTGCATTTCTCTGACTACTAAACATATTTTTATGTGGTTAGTGGCTATTTGGCTTTTTTCCTCCAGAAACTGCTGTGTATTTTTTCCCTTGGGTTGCTTGTCTTATACTTATTGATTTGCTGAAATGCTTTCTATATTCTAGATACTAATTCTTCATTAATGAAGTATGATGCATTTGCCTTCTTAGCCTGTGCTTTATCTTTTTTTCATTTTAAAAAAAGACGTGTGCTTTTTATGTCTTATGAAATCTTTTTGTAATTGGAGGTTATAATAATATTCTTATAGATTTCCTTCTAAAATTTTATATCTTGGACTTCAGTACATGTGGAATATGGTGTGAGGAAAGAATCTCAGTTTACCCTCCTTTATATATGGATAACCAGTTGTCCCAGCACCATTTCTGGATGTTAATGTCCTTTCTCTACTTATTTACAGGGCTACCTCATTCATCTGGGTGTGGACTGATTTCTGAGCTCTCATTTGTGTATTGTTTTATTATCTGTCTCTGTGCCATATTACTATGCATTTGTATTATATCTTGATATCTGATAAGGCAACTTCTTCCAATTGTTTGTGTTTTTAATATGTCACCATTAGGTATAGTATTTGTTTGGGGCGCTTTTTTTTCCCCTCATAATTACTATTTAACTATTTATAAATTGCTGTCTCAAAAGTTCTTTTCCTTTAATCCATAGGTCAGGTTTTTTAGAGAACTCATATCTTTATTATATTCAATCTCCCTATTCATGAACAAGGTAAAACTACCTATTTAAGTCTTTATTAATGTCTTTTCTATAATACTTTGCAGTTTTTTTTTGTTAATGTCTTGCATATCTTTTGTTAGAATTATTCCTACATGTTATTTGTTTTGATGCTATTATATATGGTAAATCTTAAAAAACTATCACTGTGGTTTTTAGATGTTTTTTCTTTTTAGCTTTCTACAATTTTATTTACTTTCTTACATGCTTAGCTGTCTATCTGAGCAAGTTTTTTATGTTTGATTCAGCATCTCAGTGTGTATTATACCCAGAACTTTTTCAGATTATCTAATGCAGCATTTCTCAATCTTGGCATTATTGGTGTTTTGGGATGCATAATTCCTTGTTGTAAGAATGTGCTTTGGGGAATGTTTAGCAGTATCCCTGGTTTCATCTTTTAGATGCCAGTAGTACCACTTGGTTATTATGACCCAAAATGTCTTCAGACATTGTCAGATGTCCTCAGGAGCAAAATCACCCCTGATGAAGAACCATTGATTTGGCTTATCATATTGCAGAATTTTTTTTTTTTATCTTCTTGAATGTTTTAAGATACTTATATTTTAAACTTTCAGATATAGCTTTCCAGGATGTGAATTGTATTTGTTTTGTCTACTGTCATGGATGGTGATTTTTATTTTTGTGCATGGTAATTTTTTAGCATGAGCTCACCCCCAGCAAAATGGATATTTCATATGCTCTGGCTTGTGAAGGTGGGATAGTTTTGAGTTTGCCTCTGAAGACCTTATGGACTTCCCAAGTCTGAGAGTAATTTTTATGTTAATATTTTGGTTTGGGTTTAAAAGAAACCCCAATGAGGTAGTGATTATTTAGATCTTAACTGTACCTCTCCCTTCCATACTCTCCTTACTTAAATGCCCATCACCTATAGCCACAGTTAACTGCCCCAGATACCACCCTCAGCATGTACACACTGGTATTTTGCTGCATATGGTTGGTCTGGCTCAGCATAGGATCTGTAGTTTTCCTTTTGATATTTTCTCTGAATATGCCAGATGCTATTACTGAGTAATTTGGATTTTGCTGCCAAGCTATATCTCTGTCAGTACAGAGGGAATACAGCATGCCAGTTCTTCTGCTTAGTGTGCATGACTGGCAGGCAGAAAGCTGTCTTGGGTATAATGGCTGGAGGAAATGAACTGAGCACATATTTTTTTAAATGATTATCTAGTTTTGTTAACTGTTGCTGACATTTTTAGATCATTGATAATTGCGAATGACAAAAGTTAGGTCACTGTTTTTAGGGAGTTGAGCATTTCTAGTAGTTCTGTTTGGTTCTTTTTCAGATGTGTCTGGTGAATTTGGATAGTACTTTATTTTTTACTTTTGTGTTTAATGACTTCTTATTTATTTCATACCTTCTAGTGTATATAAATATTTTATTGGTTAATTTATAATAACAACTGCTAACAAAATTGTGAATTTTAGTGCATAGAAAAAGAACTTGACTTCCTTTCATGGAAACTAGTGGCTAGGTTAAAGTACTGTTATGTTAGCCTGAGTGGAGTATAGATTTATGCTTTCTGGAACACATGAAATCAATATTTAGGTTTCATATTAAAAAATAAAGTAGTCCTAGTACGAGTTCTTTTTCACTTTAATTGAGCGATCATTCGGTAAATTTCATCACTCTAGTTATTCACAACAGTCAATATTTAAATGAATTTTGAATGAATGAGCATGGAGTTAGCATAGACACACCAATGCTTATTAACAAGTATACATGAGATAAATGTCTATTTTTTTTAAAGATCTTACCTATTTAGACTGAATGTGGGAGGCCCAGTGTAAAAGGTATGAATGCATGGTCTATTTTAAAATAAAATATTTAAAATGTTTAAGAAATAAAATTTAAAACAAATGTAATTTTATTACTTTAAGACACTAAAGTACTCAATATTTTCATTGATGGTGAACTTTAGGAAAATTGTTCTTCTTCTAAGAGTCTGTTTTGTTTTTCTTCTCGTTGACAGCAAGAACTACATATTTAATGTCCCATATATTCCTTTTTGCTTTGACTGCCATGAAGTTTAGGGATAAATTCACTGCCTATTAAAATCTGTTTAGGCCCTTTTGGCCTGCTTATTTGCATTATAGTCTATCCTTCCACAAATATTAACTTTTTTACCTAATTTTTTCCCTTATTATCATATAAAACTTTTTTCCCACTTACGCGTTTTTATTGTTAAGATGCCTCCAGTCTTTTGTGAACTGAGGTTGTATATAAATAAAATAGATTATAAGTGAATAAAATAGATTCAGTGTAAGTTTCACTAAATATAGATGGATAAATATATAAATATACTTGTATGCAAATACATAGCAATAGCAACTTGCAGTTGGGTTGTGTTTTCAATTTTTTTTTGCTAAGATTAGCTTTTAACTTGAAATGTTCTCTGATAGAAACAGACAAGGTACTCTCCCAGAATAACTCAAACACTTATTTAATGTAAAACATAGCTGTGAAACTTTAGAGATTACAGTGACTGCCATTTGCAACTTAACTTGAAAGAAAACACGGCGAGTTGCAATGGAAGAAGTTGAGGATACCCCCATGGCATGGCCTCCTCACTGTTCCCACCCGAGTTCCCCGAGTTCCATTCCAGGACTGGGATCTTTCCCCAGATCTCCTGTTCTACTTCTTTCTTTCCACTGATACCATCAGGAACTCTAGTGATAATTGCTGCCCTGCAGCAGTGTACTGAGAGTCATGGGTCTCTGGCACTTCAACAGGGGTCTCCTGGTCTGAAGAGGTGATCAAACTTGACAGTGTTTAGCTGTGGTGACAGGTCTTGTGAGCATCCATAATGAAGCTGTGAAAAGGGCCTGGGATTGGGAGGATAGCAGTAGAGATTTCTGCTTATAGATGTAAATGAACAATTTTAAATTGGGAGAAAAAAATTTAAAAAGGAGGTGGGGTAGGAACGGATGCTTCTTCTATCACTTTTGATATCTCACAGAAGGTCTTTTTTGGTAGGACCCATATTTATTTAAGCCTATCTGGGTGATGTCACTGAAAGAAAGTTAACTCCTGTGATACTAGTTTTTCTTGTCCAATCAGCTACTTAGTCATTGGGCTTTTCCCACTTCCTCCCACCAGGGTCATTCATTTGCCACTTAGTCATTAATTCCTTCTGTCATTTCTCTCTTACCATATTGTATGTTGTGATAAATTCTGATAAAGCATGTGGGCTTTTTTGGAAATAATTTGTCTCTAGTTTCATTTCCTTTAAAATATAGGTTATCTTCTTTGTCTGTCTTAGTTTTGGATCAGTTTCTTTGTCTACTGAGGATTGCTTTTCATAGACTTAATGATATGAATTTAATCAGCTAGGCTCGAGAGACCAGCAAGAAAGGAAGAGCCTATACTTTGAATTTTAAGCATAAGTTACTTCGATATGAGGATTTTTAAAAATTCCCTTTTAACCACAGAACACCTCCATTGGAAAGGATTCTGAAAGAAATGAAGAAAACCATCAGAAATGAAGTCAGTAGCCTCATGGCCTTCTGTTGACTGGACTGGATTCTTATTGCTCTTCTTTGCAACGACACTTTACAGAATGTCTGCTGAGGTCATCCATCAGGTTGAAGAGGCACTTGATGAAGATGAGAAGGAGATGCTTCTTTATTTGTGTCGGGATGTTGCTGAAGATGTAGCTCCACTTACTGTCAGGGACCTTTTGGATATTTTAAGTGAGAAAGGAAAGCTGTCTGCCATGGGCTTAGCTGAGCTGCTCTACAGAGTGAGGCGGTTTGACTTGCTCAAGAGGATCTTGAAGATGGACAAAATGGCAGTGGAGGCCCACCTACTCAGGCACCCTCATCTTGTTTCGGACTACAGGTATTTCATCAGCTCTTTCTGAAGCTGGGAGGGAATGAAGCGGTCTAGACTTCTGAACAAGAGAAAAGAGTACAGTCAGAAAAGCATCCTCATTACTTTCTTTATCCACTGATCCAACTGCTGTATAATGTTACTTCATTCCTTTGAATTCTTTGAATTCTTAGCTTGAGTTTGCTTAAAGTAATTGTGTAGAAGATCATAATGAGAATGGAAAGGATGGTTGTTACGTGTTTGCCTGATGAATATAGTGAGAGATATAGGAATGACCAAGAGCTAGTAATGTTTGCCAGCCTTTTTGAGATCCGCAGTGGTCTTTGTTCTAGCTTGATTTTCTGTAATGTCAGAGCCTGGCAATTTTCGGTGCTGAGAAAGGAAATGACAAATCTGAAAGTGATCTTCCTGACCTTTGTAGGACTCTGTGACCCCTTCTGAATTCTCATTAATCTTTCCTTTGCTGAGGAAGCTAGTGGGGTAGGCTTCCTTTATGCGAGTTTCTGTGAGGTCTCTGCTTCTGGAGGCTATGGGGAATCCAAATTGAACATCTACCTCTATGCCCTCTTCAGTTCAGAGAAGACATCCTCTGGAGTCCCCTTTAAGTTTTTCCTTTTTCTTGTTCATATAGTACTCTCTTGGAGGTTCTGAGATGCACAGAAGCCACCAGAAAGACTGTTTCTGGGGAAAGGAAGAGAACTTGTAATCTTAAGTTAACAGTTCTTTTTCTCCAGGCCACCAGCCTTTAGTTATAATCAATAATGTATATTTGGAGATGATGCATATTATTAAAAACTATATTAAAGAGAGTTGAAAGCAATGAGACCTTGGCAAGTGTCTAAGACTTGAGACCTGAAGGTCTGTTTCAAGCCTCAGACCTGTCAGTTACAAGCCTTCTAGGCTGAGACAACCACTAACATTACTGAGCCTTCATTTTTCTACTTGTAAAGCTAAGAATAATTATACACAATTTCACAAGTTCGTTTGTGAGGATAATTGTGATAATTTAGCATGTGAAGTACTTTTTAAAACTATGAAGTACTCTACAAATGTAATTTTTGTTGTTGTTATTCTTGATCATCTTCCACCTCTCCAACCATCATATAATGTCAGTGATCGCAAAACTTCTTGGGAGGCACTGACTGAGTTTTTGTGAATAATTTAGGTCAAAGGCCGGGCAGTGGGAGGCGAGTGCTAGATTCATTTATTCATCTCTTCAGTGGGCTTTTTTTGTGGGTCAGCATATGCCAGGTGTTTGGGAAGCACTAGAGCAAAATGAATGAAAATTCTTCCATCCTCAGGACTAATTGGGAAAACGGCCCTCTATGCATTGGTAACAGTTTCAAGGTAATAATGCTAACCACGAGGTGTCCTGGGAGTCTCGATGAAGCAACAAACTAGAGCAGAGGTGACTGATCAAGAGGGGCTTTCTAGACCAAGACATCTACTGTCACAATCCCCAGGCTCTAGATGTCTTTTACCCTTTGAGTTCTCAGTGGGCCAGGATATCCTGGCTGTTACTTTGCTTTAGAATCTTGTGATTCAAAGTACGGTCCCTAGATCAGCATCAGCATCACCTGGGAGCTTATTAAACAGAGAAGACAAAATTACTTTGAATACTATTTCTGTCTTCATCTTAGTCATTTAGGTTCCTCATTTATTTCATTATAACTCTTGGGGAAGCTAGGGGATTCTTTAGGGAAGTTTTTATTCTCTGAGCTATTTTCAGAGCAGTTAGATAGAAAGAGAGGTGCCATCTTTCATTGAAAACTTGGGAAAAGATGAGTTTCCTTTTTGAGTTTCCTTAAGATATCTTCCTGGGGTGATCTTGGCTTTCCGTCTTATGGCTGGGACACATTTAAATGGGGGCAAGAACTAGTCTTTTAACCAGTTATTGGCATAGAGGAGGAATAGGCTCTTGGTGTTCTCACTGGGACTGGTATCTGAATTTACTGAAGAAACTTGTCTTTTTAACAGGGTGCTGATGACCGAGATTGGTGAAGATTTGGATAAATCTGATATGTCCTCATTAATTTTTCTCATGAGGGATTATATGGGTCGAGGCAAGATAGCCAAGGATAAGGTGAGTTTTCTTTTTCTTGATTCATGTTCCCAAGAGCCTGTCAGAGGTCAGAGGATGCTCTCTATGGCATGAAGAGAAGGAAGCAGGCGCTTGAGCAGGGAGGCCCACGCTGGGGGCGAAGGCAGGAACTGAGAAGAGTGTGGGTTGTTTTCATAATAACATCGATGGGAAGAAAATTGGTTTATGAATACAGAAGAAATATGGTGATATCTCCTGGTGTGGCCCTTAGTGTTTCTCTCATCCTTGTATTTATCCTTTATTTGTGTAAAATTCATAGGTTTGGCTTATACATTGGTTTTTCTCCCTAGTTTGACAAATCATGTGGAAGGGTTAGGCAGTTCCATTTGCTCGTGCTGAGTAGAAACGGGTGGGAAGTGCTAATCCACTCGCATCTTGCTCTCCTACTGCCATCTATTTCTCCTCAGCTAGCTCAAGGTCAGGGTGGAGTCATTAGGCTGCATGTGGAGATAAGGTGTGGGGACATCTTTGTGACTGATGTGTGTCCAGGGGATGGCAGAAGTAGAGATTTGGGGTTGAAAACTAGGTAGGGGCAAAGACCTCAGGGAGGTTGTGATTGCTGGAAAAGTATCTAAATTCCAGCTGACCTTTTATGGTACTGCTAACCTAAGGACAGGCCAGGAAGAGCTCGAGTCTCTGGTGTATGACTATATGTCTTTAAAGGACTCGCCTCTAAAGACTTTGGTAAGTCATTGCTTGAGAATTTCCTCATGTTTCTCAATGATCGTAGTTTGTGAAATTTGGGGATACAGGGTGACTGTATGCCCCAGCATCAAATGAGAAGTGGAAAGAGAAATGAAAAAATGTTTAAAAATAAAGATAGCACTTCAATAACCAACTGTGAAACAGAAGGGAAATAAAACCAAAAGCAATGCCTGTTTCTGAAATCTAGTTATGTCACAATCCCTGAGGTTCAGTTAGATGACTAGCAAAATGTCCTAACCTTGTAATTTTGCCTCCTCATACCCTCTGAGTCAAAACGGGTTGGAATGTCCAGCACTGATTACAATGTTTTAGGACCTTCAAAACTGTATCGTTGGAATTTTTCTAGTGAAAACTTTCCCCAGCTACTTTTTCTCTTCCTTTTTCAGGAAAACCCTTAGAATTTTTTAGTATAACACCAGCCTGACTTTTGGGAAGAGAATAAACTCAGGAGGATTTTGTTGTCTTTCTAGGCCTGCTCTCTCACCATACTCCTTGATGGTACAAAATGGCCCACGTGTCCATCCACAACCTAGGTATAGGTTGGCCACCAAAACACTTACCACTATCTCTTTGCTGAGTAAAATCCAGGAATGTAATTTGCTGCTGGCCTTGGAGGGACTATAAAACAGAGAAGCCTGGTTTAGGATCACTTGAAGGTCTGAAGGGGCTCCTCTTGTTACCTTTTTTTGTAATACATCACACAACCTGAGGTTTGCATTTAGTGCTTAATTGTCAGCCCTAATGACCTTTGTTTCTTGTTGGTGGCTCTCTTAGAGTTTCTTGGATCTTGTGATGGAATTGGAGAAACTAAATCTGGTTGCTCCAGATCAACTGGATTTATTAGAAAAATGCCTAAAGAACATCCACAGGATAGACCTGAAGACAAAAATCCAGAAATACAAGCAATCTGGTAAGTAGAACTTTGGCCTCTCGGTGGCCTAAGGAAAGTACCCTGTGCATAATAGATCTGGTTGGTAAAGATTCATTTGTTGGGTGAGTGGATGGAATGGAACCTGAATGTTCACAGCCCCCACTAGCCTGTGATTAGAGATCATATCTCTTTATATCCTTCATATCCCAGATCTGCTAACTTTACCACCCCACCCCCACGATCACAGAATCTTGGCCCTCTGCAACATGCCACCAAGCAGTTCTTAACACTCTTACCTTAGAGAAAGAGTCTGCACCCACATTTTCTGCACCAGGTGAAGGTGCTGTGGACATTCAGGGTTTTGAGTATAAAAACTGCCTTGCTCCAGTGTTTGGCCTGACCACCATCCATCCAGCTCTGGGTGGTATCCTGTCACTGGGGTTCCACAGCTGCCCTGCATGTGTTCTGAGTTTCACAAAAGCTTCTCATGGAAAAGGGCATCTTTTAAGCTGATAACCTCTCCCTCCATAAAGGGGACCAGATTCAGACTGGCTTTGTTGTGTGCCATCCCTGCCCCATTGCCTTTTAGACTCGTCCTCAGCTTGGGCTCCATTAGCAGTCCACTGACACCAGAGTCGCAATCTGAAGGGCATGGATAAGACCCAGTGATCTACAGACACTCCCCCCGCCCCCCCCCGCCCCGCCGCCCATCCCACACAGTTGTGTGCCATCCCTGCCCCATTGCCTTTTAGACTCGTCCTCAGCTTGGGCTCCATTAGCAGTCCACTGACACCAGAGTCGCAATCTGAAGGGCATGGATAAGACCCAGTGATCTACAGACACTCCCCCCGCCCCCACCCCGCCGCCCATCCCACACACACACACCTGAATGACTGATAAAAGACCAAGTACAAGAATAGAATTTTTAGTTCATTGAATGACTGATAAAAGACCAAGTACAGGAATAGAATTTTTAGTTCATTCTTAATGATATTGTAAAAGAGTCATCTGATCTGATATTTTGAATTAAGTAAGGTGGCTGGAAAGTTTAGGGCATTTTGAAGGATGATGATTGACTGTGGACTAAGCCTTCGTTCAAGATTCACTTAATAATAATTGGTAAATCTTAACTCAGTACCTCTCTTCTGCTTACAGCTCAAGGAGCGGGAACAAGTTATATAAACGCTCACAAGGCATCTCTCTCAAACTTGAGTTTTAAGGATACTTCATATAACTTAAGGGTGAGTCTGGAGCAAATGTGTGAAATCCCAGCATGAAACAGCTTCAGAACTTTGAGTAAAATATACATATTCTCACACAATGTACTTTATGTAATATCAGAAAAAATTGTGATAAAAATACATTTGTTTTTAAAATATGTGTAATTTCTCATGATTACAAAGCTAACATATGTTCATCGATATAATTTAGAAAATAGAAGACTATCATAGAGGGAAAATAGATCGCCTCTATTCTACCACCTAAAAATAGCTACTGTTAATTAATATCTTGTTATATTCCTTTCTAGTCTTTTTGTCTTCTTTTTTGCTTGTGTATTACGTATATGGTTGAATGTTTTTCAATGTTCATTTGTTTCTTTGAAAATTTAGCTTTTTAAATAAAAATTAAGTAGGACATGCCCATGGACTTAAAAGTTCAAAACATATTAAAAACATGGATTTTTAAAGTATGTTTCTTCATATTCTAGTTCTTTTCCCCAAATATGATAAGGACATATCATATTTCATTGTTGTTTTTTCTTATGTACAAATGCTAGCACATTATGCTCATTGTCCTGATCTGAGAATTCTTGGAAATTATTCCATATGAATCTTATGAAACTGCCTACTTATTAATCATTGTTTTTAATCATTGCACATGGTTCTACATTCTAGATGTATAACAATGCGTTTTGCTTTTTCTTGTATATGTGTGTTTATATTATTTCCAGTCTTTTATTACTGCAAATAAGGCTTCAAAATAAATATCTTTGTGTTTACCTCTCTGGGCATTTGCTTTTTATTGAGCTTATTTTAATGATTTCAGTGAAGTGTTTTTGTTTTTGAGAGATGTTAATGATTTGTGAACATAAATATCATGTAGACACTTCTGGTTGTTATGTTAGTAGATGATGCAAAGTATTTTCAGGATTATTCTTGGGTTAATTTTTTATCTTGAAAAGTTAATAATTTTAGTGTAATCTCATCCTCATCCCCATATTAGGATATATGGAATTTGTAGTGAGGACCTAGACCACAGTGCAGTTTCATGGTTAAATTATAAATGCTTTCATAAAAGCCTGTGATGAAAATATTAACTACCCCTGTACTATAAATAGTTTCATGAGTAACATGAGCTGTTAAAGTTACCACTGAGCAATAGAATTTCAGAGGTAAAATAGATATTAAGGATTATGCTGTCCAACCTCCTCATTGAACAAATAAGGAAACAGACCTAAAGAACATGAAATGATTGCCCACCTCCAACTATCACCAGAACTGGGTCTGTCCCCGCTCCCTCCTCTATACCATGGCATAGCTTAGATATATGTCATTTTTCAAGAATCAACTATGCTTTCTTTTGTCCATCTGAATCTCAGTGATACCAAATCATGAGACAAAACTGATTTAGAATGCAGATTCAGATTTTCAGAGCTTTCGCTGCTATTGTCTATCTAATATGAATTATACTGTCAATCTTAGTTAAAAGCCTGCCATATTTCACTATTGTCTTTCTATTTTGTTAATGAAAGTAATTGTATTTATTGTCTATGTACCCTATTGGGAACCCACATGCTCTTTGTGTAAACTTTTCCTTAAATTTGCTATATTAATCTGTGATCCTGATCATTCATTTAGTAAGCAGGCACTATGGCAAATGAATTCAGTGAATTTCTCACAAGATTTAGGAGCTGAATACCTGGATGTTAACTCGTACAGGGCTGCAAAAGTACATTAAAAATTATGGTTATGGTGGCATTAAATGACATATGATACCAGCATGTTACAAAATAAAAATGTTGTATGACCCTGCAATATAATGCTTTTTAAATACAGCTTTGATTTGATGTGATCTGTCTTTAATAGTATATAAAAGTGAATGCACATCTATGTGGGGTTTGAACTTCTGTCTAATCAATATCATCAGCCTATGGCTAAGTCACTGGTTATTAGTAATAAAAGCAACTTACATGTTTTTCTTTCATTTAGACATACAGACTTAGCTACAGACACAGCTTATGAACAGTCTACTTCTCTCTTTTGGCTAGGATAGCTTCAGAGGAGAACTGTCATTTGAAAGCTGAGCGTATCAGATGGTTGACAGTATGTGGTATGTGTACCTTACACAGGACCTGTCATCTGAGAAGAGAAAGGGTCGGTTTAATCTTTCATTCTCTGATTAATCCCACTGCAGCCCTCATAAGTGGTAGCTGTTATCAAGAATCAGGCCCACATGTAGCTTATATATAGCTAGGCAATTATAGAAAAACAGTAACTGGACAGTTATTCAGTACTTTCATGTAGTAGGCACTATGCTCAGTGCTTTGTGTACATTTAATCTTCACAAAACTTTTATAAGTTAGGTACTATTATTATCCTCATTTTGAAGATAAAGAAGCAAATATATAAGGATTAAGTAACTTGCTTGAGGTTACGTAGCTAGTAAGTGGCAGGTTTGTCTGGGCTAGAACTCCCAACTCTTAACCGAACAGGTACATTGCCTCTGTGTTAAAGGATCAGGTTGAAGGTCAATTGCATGTCCCAACAGCTTGTTCTGTCTTAGAGCTCTTATAGCAACTCTACCATAACCTCTGACTTTATTGAGTTGTTTTGAAACATTCTAATATGCTAGTTTAGCATATCTACACATTCATTGTATTTTCAGTTTTTAAAAAGAAGAGTTGCCTTGTTCTTCTTTTATGGAATATAGAATTCATGGAGTAAATGGTTCTTGCTATTCTTCTTTAGATATTTTAACAGTGAATGTGATATTTTTATTTTTTTCTGGGTAAAAAACCTAATGAGATATTTAAAGAGGTGTAATATAATGTGACTGAAAAAACTAACAGGGAGTGTGACCTTATTCTTTATATTTGAAGCTCCAGAATGGGAGAAGTAAAGAACAAAGACTCATGGTGAAACAACTTGACATTCAAAGTAAGACCGACTTCTCTTTTTTTTTGTTTCAATTGATTCTTTTTTAAAAAATTTTATTTTATTAGTTTCAAGTATATAGTACGTTGGTTAGACATTTATATAGGTTATAAAATTATCTCCCTAATTGCTCTTTCTCTCCTCTAGCTCTCTACCTAGCCAATGCATTAATGCTAACTGCATTCCCTATGTCATGATCCCCATCCCTGTGACCATCTATCAACCACTAATTTGTACCTTTAACCCTTCACCCCATTCTCTCAGCCCTCCAACCCACTTCCCCTCTGTCTGTCACCAGACTATCCTCTATATTTGTGAATCTATTTTTGATTAGTTTGTTCTTTTTTGTTCTTTAGATTCCACATATAAGTGAAATCATATGATATATGTCTTTCTCTGTCTGACTTACTTCATTCTGCGTAATAACCTCTAGGTCCATCTATGTCATTGAAAATGGTAGGATTTCATTCTATTCTTTTAATGGCTGAGTAATATTCTATTGTATATATGAATCATAACTTCTTTATCCAATCATCTGTTGATGGGCATTTAGGTTGCTTCCATATCTTGGCTATTGTAAATTGTGATGTCATGAATATTGGAGTGCATAGATCTTTATGAATTATTGTTTTGGTCTTCTTTGGAAAAATACCCAGAAGTGCAATTGCTAGGTCAACAGGTATATCCATTTTAAATTTTTTGAGGAACCACCATACTGTTTTCTATAGTGGCTATACCAATTTGCAATCCCATCAACAATGTATGAGGGTTCCCTTTTCTCCGCATACTGGCC